CAACAAAAAGGGGAAGATCAGCAACCCCTCTATCAGTCTAGACTCTTTTGGGTTGCCTAGTAGCGTTGCTCAGATTGATATCATGGCCTTACCCATCATGGATTCTGTTATAATGAGATGATGGTAGAGAGCCTTATCACTACATCTAATGTTCTTACCCCTTTGGAAAAGGAAGACAATGATGCTACTAGCTCTCCGAACAATCAGGATTCTAGACATGATAAGGACATGGGGCTGAGGAAATTTCATATGTTCCTCAACGGATTAAGAAGTAATCAATCCCTTAAGATTTTCGATTTGTTTTATTCGGATCGGATCTCACTCAAGGGAAAACCTTGAGTTTCTTCAAACATTTTGATGTATCATGGATGACTATACGAGTGAAGGAAAATACCACCTATAATTGGCATTTTGAATCCCATAAGGCAAAGGAATCCAAAGTTCCTGAAACCTTACTCACGCCTACTAGGATGGTGGGTCCAAAAAAGAGGTGTCGCAACAGGAAGGGCCTAAAGGAAAAGGCCAAGCGATCCTTGGACTCCGCCGAGGTTAGCCACACTGTTGGACTTCTTGTTAGATGATCATATACCTACTAGCCTAACTTCTAGAAACTATGATGGTTCGAAATTCGAGGAGGGGAACGAGTTACATGCGAGAGATTTAACTACCACTGATATCGATGAAGTGGAATCCGTAGGCTCTAATGACGACGACCCCATGACTGTTGAACCCGGCCATGTGCAGCCCTCTCCTCCACTCTCTACCTTCATGTTCTCTACCATGTCAAGAAAAAATGGAAGGGCAATCAAGTCAAGGGTGAAGAACAAGAAAGGTAAAAGGCATCCTAGTTGTTGTTTTTACAGGCTCAAGAAACGCAAGGTAACAAATTTGGAACAGCTTAGGGCTAGTTCTGGTGATGGATCTTCTCAACCCCCTTATTTGCATTATCAAGCAGTTCATAGCGTCTGTAACCCCAATCCCCTTTTTAGTTCTTGTATTAGTTTGGTTAAGAGATTTAAATTGTCTCGTTGTAGTCTTGAGTCAGTTGGGAGCTAGCCTCCTTTTTGCATCGTTGTCAAAAAAAGAAAAAAAAAAACGAAAGATAAGATGGTAAAATGGGTATAACATAACTAGAATAAAATAAAATTGATCATCTATGATGACCTGGCCCGCTAGCCCCATCCGGCTTGGCCCCAAAAAAGTGCAAGTTTGCTGGACCCTAGTGCAGTTAGGATAGTTGGATCACGCTCTATAAAATGAACATTTAGTAAAAAAAAAAGAAAAATATAAACACATCAAAAAAAAAAGAAAAACATTTAACAAGTAAAAAAATTTAACATTTAATGTATTAAAAATGAACATTATTATTATATAATCATAGAATTGCTTGACCACACCCTATAAAATTACATTTAGCAAAAAATTATGAACATGTCAAAAAAAAACATTTAGTGAAAAAAAAATGAATACGTTAAAAAAAAGAACATTTGGTAATAAAAATTGAACACGTAAAAAAAAAATGAACATTTAGTATACAAAATAACATATAGTAAAAAAAAAATATGAACATATTAAAAAAAATACACATTTGGTAATTAACAAAAAATGCACATGTTAAAAAAAATGAATATTTGTTAATAAAAAGTGAGCACGTAAAAAAAAATTGAACATTTAGTATATTAAAAATGAACAGATTTTTATATAATCATAAAATAGCTAGACCATGCCCAATAAAATGAACATTTAGTAAAAATATATATGAACCCATTTAAAAGAAATTAACATTTAGTAATAAAAAATGAGCACGTGAAAAAATGAACACGTCAAAAAAAATATGAACATTTAGTATATTAAAAATGAGTATGAATTTCATATATTTATATAGGCTAAAATTCATTGTATATAATTATTGACGAAAAACAAAGATAAAATAAATCGTTTAAAATATGTCCATTTTTATGTACGAAATGTTCATTTTTAATAAACTAAATATTCATGGATAATGTACTACAAGTTTATTTTTTACAGGAATTATACAAAAGTTCAATTGTAATTATTCCAACTCTAAAAATTTGAATATCCACCTAAAATCTAATCTTGGTTCATCATAGAGAAAATAACTATCGATCTATAACATGATTGATTAAGAAACAAACGAATACCAAAAAAAAAGGAGAGGACAGAGAAAATTACTACAATCAATTGATATTTATCATAAATTCATGACATCATTACAAATTGACAAAATATACAAAAATTATAGATGTAATATCAATCACATTTTCAAAAAATTTAACCTAATTAAAATAAGTTATAAATCAATGACATAAACTAATCTGTATCAACAATCTCTTCGGGAATAACAATTTAATCCATCACGAATCAACAAAATACAGAAAATAGAGGAGAAAGAAATGTCAAAAGAATAAGACAATGTCAAGAATAGAGGAGAGAGAGAAAATTTCAAACAAAATTAAGAATTAAGGAAAGAATTAAGAAAAGAGATACATGTAAGAATTAAGAAAAAAGGAAAGAAAGAAGGTAGGAAGAAGACTGCATGAAGAAGGAAGGAGAAAAAGTATATAGTGTGGTGTAGCAAGCTAACCTAAAAACACATTTTCTGTTAATGCCCTGAGTCCAGCCTGAAAAAGCCCGAAAAACACGCTTTGTCCCGAAAGCCCAACACTTTTTACGGGTTTGAGTATGATGTTTCATGCTAAGGCCCTGTTCGGCTAGAATTATGATCACCTTTAAGCAAAGTGGGCAAAACATAAAAAATAAAAAAATAAAAAAATTCTAAATTGAAAAGGATAAGGGAGTATATTTTTTAATTCATCGTGCTGATGGGATTATAATGTTGATTTACCCCATAATTCCCTAATTTTAGTATAGAATTGTGGCATATTCATATGTTCCATCCTCATCAACATTTTGTGAAGTTTTTAAAGAAAATAAATACTTTGAACTATTATAAATAGGAAAAATTGCCAAGATCGATTAATATGACATGTTACTGGTCTTCTAAAAAAACAACCTTTTGATTATTTCGGAAGAAAACGACCTTTGACATGCATCTCCTATAAATAGAACGTAACCGGTCAACCTATTTAATAAATTAAACCTCACCCCCACCCATCCCCCATTGTTGTTGAAAACCCCCCACCCACCCTCATTGTCGTCGAAAACCCCCATCTAGCCCTCATTGTCGTCGAAAACCCCCTCCTCCCACACAACCGCTGAAACCTTTACCCCTACCCTTCACCAACCTCAAAAACACCATCGAGCCCACCCCACTCCCCACCAACCTCGAAAACCGACAAAACATCAACGAAGGTGGTTGGTGCGCGGCGACTTGTGGTGGTGGATCGGTTGGAGGGGTATGACGTGATGATCAAACGGAAAGGAGGTTGATGGACTTGTCGAATGGGGATGGGGCTGGATAGGGAGGGGGTGAACGGGAAGTGGGAGGATTTTTTTTTTTTTAAAGAAAAATGTTAAAATAAAAAAAATAAAAAATCATTACAAATCACAATGTGACACGTGTTTGATTTAACCACCGATTATTTAATCTATATAAGATAAGATGCGTGTCAAAGGTCATTTTATTCTTGAATAGTCAAAAGATCATTTTATTTCTATAAGACCTGTAAAAGGTTGTATGAATCTTGACAATTTTTCCTAATAAACAAATGTCATTATTATCATTTGCCCTCATGTTTAAATAGAAAATGGCAATTAGGCTTTGTCCTTTTCGCCTTAAATAAAATGTTCTAGTCAGATTTTTCTAAAGTTAAGTCTAGTTTAGTTGGATCTTGTTATTTAGATTGGTCTTAATGTATACTATTAAAATTCTTTCAAAAAAAAAAAAATGTATACTTTTAAAATATCTAAAATTTCATAGTTTTTACAAAGCTATGATAGCACAAAACATATTATGAATTAGACTCGATTTTTAAATGAAACATTCACAAGTTAAGCTCAAACCAATAGTTATCAAACAAACCAAGTTTAACCACACATGAGCTTGACCTAATTTGGGTCTTGAGCTTGTTATCACACAAGCAAAATGAACATAGTATGATAATTAGTGTTCAACTTGGACTTCTGCATTTCTTTCGGATCAATGAGACATGACTCGATTCATTTGCATCCCTTTCTAATTTATTTTTTAAAAAGGTAATAAAAATAAACATTAGGACGCCATCCTCATGAAGGAATCTCTAGCTAATGTATAAGAGAAGGAATTACAAACATCAATATCCATCATCTCATGAACTAAATGTCCTATATTAGCGATCCAATCTGCATTTGCATATTTTTAATGAGCAAAACTCATTTAATACCCTATATTAACAAGACATGTTTATATCAAAATTGCTCTCTCCTCCCCTCACATGGATATATATCCTTCTCTCTCCTCCACTCCCATGGCCACTATTTCCTTCTCTCTGCTCCCCTCCCATGGCCATGCCCATGATCGACCACTTTCGCGGCTCTAAACCAGGTGGCCGGCTGAACAAAAGACACCCTAGTAGCAAATTATGTAAAGTGGGGCCATACTAACCCCTAAGGGAAAGGGATTCGCTCAGGTGGTGCTCGCGGTGGTGCGGCGGTCAAATGGTGGTGCTAATGGTCATGCGGTGGTCGGCTGGTAGTGCTGGTGGTTGTGCGGTGGTCAGCTGGTGAAGCTAATGGTCTGCGGTGGTGCGACATGTGGTACTAGTGGTTGTGCATTGGTGATAGAGGGGAGAGAAAGGCTGCTAAATTTACAAAATTACTCTTGGTGTGGTTGCTAAATTTACAAATTTACCCTTAATATAAACAAGTTTTGTTAATATAGGATATTAACTTGTATTTTTCTCATTTTAATTGCCAAGTCACACGATGACCCTAGAATTAATATGAGCCAGAGAGAGTATTTTCGATACTTGTTTTGGTGTATAGTTTAGTAGTTTATTACACACGAATGAAGGCCCAAAACCTTTCTTATAATGCTGCTAGCTTAATCCCCTTATTCACCTTACCTTATCTTTCTGTTAGTTTTACACCATTTTATCTGCCATCTTTCTCTCTCTTCTCTTCTCACTTTCTCTCTCTTAATTCAATCCACCCAAAACCCCTAAATTATCATTAAACCCTAAACCCCCAAATTATTTTTACGTTCCTTCAATCATTGTATTGAAGGAACCAACAAATTCAAGCTTGCATCAATGGAGTCGGAACCTCAAGTGGATAGGACGTCGCTTCTTTCTCGACAACCTTCAGGTATTCGTGCTGTACCTTCTCATGATGATGATGATGATGATGAATTTGATAATGAATTAGTTGTTGAAAACAATAATTCTCCTGAACAAATGAATAAAATTGATGAAACTAATAAGAATTCGATTACTAGTAGTAGTAATGGAAGCAGTGATAGTAGTATTAGTAGTAGTTTTGCGAGTAGTGGTGGTAATAATGGAAGTTATGTGAATGGTGAGGAGGAGTTTGAGACTCCTATTGATGGCCCAGATAATCAAACCCTAGAGAAATTGATTGAGGTTGATGAAACTGATGCCCCTGCATCTGGGTCAGCATTAGGTTCGCCGGGTGTTCGGGCACCAAAGGCGGGTTTGCCGGTTGCGAAGGTTTCGGGTGATGGAGATGATGATGACGATGATGAAATTGAGGTTGATAGTGAAGAGGAGGATATTGGTGTAGTTGGGGATGGAATGGGTAGGTCTTATGGTGCTGAAAAGGCGCCTAGAGTTAGGGTTTTGGGTGAGGAAGAGGAGGAGGAGGAGGATGAGTCGTTTGAGGAGGCGAAAGAAGAATTGGGTGATGAGGGCACTCAAGAAAAGAGTGAACTTGAGTCTTTGGAGACTAAGGATGTTGGTGATGATATGGGGTCTAAAGTGGAGGAAAATGCTTCCGAATCTCGTGATGGTGAGCCAGTTAACGAGGGAGATGCTGTTGTGGATTCCATAAAAGTGGATGTTGTTGAAGCTGTAAGGTCAGGAGTTGCTGTTGTTGGGGTTGAAGATGATAATAAGCAGGATTCGAAAGTCGAATCTGTGGATATTGTTGCTGGGGATACTGAAAAGGAGGTGGATGCTGAGGTTGAAGTTGGGGAAGAGGAGACCTCTGTTGCCGAAGAACCTGCTTTAGTGGATTCTGCGTCTGTTGAAGATAGTGGTGTCAAGCTAACTGAGGAGGGGGATTCTGTAGTGGACTCAATAAATGTTGATGCTGGTGAAGCTGTTAGGTCTGGAGCTGCTATTGTTGGGGAGGTAAAGGAAGAGAAAGAATCAGAGGATTCAGGAACAGATGAAAATGCTGTTGTTGAAGAATTTCTTTCGACAGTGGAAGGGAAAGACTCAGGGAATTCGGGAACAGTGGGTGAAAATACTGTTGAAGAATCTTCTTCGATAATTGAAGATACTGCTGCAGAATTACCTGATGAAGTGGACTTTAAATCTGTAGAAACTGGTGAGGCCAAGGTTACTGATGAAGGAGATGCTGTTGTTGATGCGGTGAATGTTGATGTTGTTGAGGCTGTAAGATCTGGAGTAGCTGTTGTGGGGGATGCTGATGTGGGAACGGAAACAGACATCAAGGAAAGGAGTGACTTGGATACTGCAGAAACAAAGGTTGACAATTCTGCTGTTGAAAAACCTGCTTCAACAGAGGAAGATTCTGTTGGAGAAGAACCTGCTAAAACGGATTCTAAATCCATGAAAACTGATGAGGCAAAGGTTACAGATGAAGGAGACTTGGTTGTTGATGAAGATAATGTTGGTACAGAACCCGTGAAATCTGGAGTTGCTGTTATGGAGGACTCTGGAGCTGCCGGAACAGAGATGAAAGCTGAAGTTAAGGAAGTAGAAGCACCTGCTGGTGAAAACACGACATTGGCCAATGATAATCATGTAAATTCATCTGAGGTGAGTACTTTTTTTATGATAATCATGTTGAACTAACTATAAATGACATTTTTATATGCCTAATTAGGTTTGCCTTTGCAGATTGTTGATAATTCTGACAAAGAGACTCTCGCAAATGAAGAAGAAACACCTGCATCAGAAGAGATTAATGCTGAAGCTGCTGAATTCAAGCAGCATGAGTCTGCTGATGGAATGCTATCTGTTTCTGGTGGGGAGCAAGAGAAGTTTCAGCATGATGATGTAGATGATGATGCATCTGATAAGATGGATGATAAAACTGAAACTTTGATCCCGGATAAGGGAGAGGAAGCTGAGGAGAGATTTTATATACCCCAAGAGGAATATGATGAAGGCTCTGATGGTGAAGGTGAACCTCTATTCTTTAAGAGTGAAATCTCTTCCAGAAATTTTATGGAGGAGTTGGTTTCTGGTGATCGTTCAGAGATGATTGATGGACAGGTTGTCACAGACTCTGAGGAAGAAGCTGATTCTGACGAGGAAGGGGAGGGTAGAGAGTTGATTGATTCTGCTGCATTAGCTGCTCTTTTGAAAGCGGCAACTAGTTCTGGTTCAGATACTGGTCCAATCACTATAACATCTCAGGATGGATCTCGCCTTTTTTCTGTTGAGCGTCCTGCTGGTTTGGGAACGTCACTCCGTTCCGTGAGACCTGCGTCTAATTCAAGCAATTCCAGCATCTTTGCTACGCCTAGTGCTGCTGCTCCATCTGAGGAAAGCCTAAGTGATGAAGACAAGAAGAAGCTGCAGAAGATACAGGACTTGAGGGTGAAATTTTTAAGGCTTGTTCAAAGAATTGGCCAGACAGTAGACCAATCTGTATCATCACAAGTTCTTTATAAACTAGCAATTCTTGCAGGAAGGACGACAGTTCCGTCCTTCAGTCTTGATAACGCAAAACAGACAGCTATGCAGCTTGAGGCTGAGGGGAAAGATGATTTAGACTTTTCCTTGACCCTGTTGGTTCTTGGGAAAAGTGGTGTTGGCAAGAGTGCCACCATCAATTCTATATTTGGTGAAGAGAAGGTTAAAATTAATGCATTTGAACCTGAAACCACTTCTGTTAATGAGGTTAGTGGAGTAGTGGACGGAGTCAAGATCAGAGTCATTGATGCACCTGGTCTTAAATCTTCTGCATTGGAGCAGGCTTTCAACCGTAAAGTCTTAGCCTCAGTCAAGAAGTTCACCAAGAGATATCCTCCAGATCTCACACTTTATGTGGATCGGCTGGATTCACAGACAAGAGATCTAAATGATCTACCCATGTTGAGAACAATCTCCAACTCTCTTGGTTCTTCCATCTGGCGGAGTACCATTCTCACACTCACTCATGCTGCTTGTGCTCCCCCAGATGGTCCAACTGGCACTTCAATTGGCTATGAAGTGTTTGTGGGACAGCGTAGTCATGTTATACAGCAGTCTATTGGTCAAGCTGTTGGTGATTTGCGTTTTATGAATCTAGGCATGATGAACCCTGTTTCCCTTGTGGAGAACCACCCTGCATGTCGGAAAAATCGGGAAGGGCTAAAGGTACTTCCTAATGGCCAGGCCTGGAGACCACAGTTAATGTTGCTATGCTACTCTTTAAAAATTTTGGCTGACGCTAGTCTGACCTCAAAGCCTCAAGATCCTGTAGATCACCGGAAGTTTTTTAATTTCCGTACCCGTTCGCCTCCTCTCCCATACTTGTTAAGTTCGTTGTTGCAACCTCGTACCCACCCCAAACTTTCAGCTGATCAGGGTGGTGACAATGGTGATTCTGATGTTGACTTGGATGACTTGTCCGATTCTGATCAGGAAGAAGATGAGTATGATCAGCTCCCACCATTTAAGCCTTTGAGGAAAACTCAGATTGCTAAGCTTAGTAGAGAGCAGAAGAAGGCATACTTTGAAGAATATGACTACCGAGTGAAGCTTCTTCAGAGAAAGCAGTTGAGAGAGGAGCTCAAAAGAATGAGGGATATGAAGAAAAACGGCAAACCAAGTGTGGATGAATACAGTGAGATGCCAGAAGATTATGATGGTGAGAATGGAGCCCCAGCTGCTGTACCAGTTCCTTTACCTGACATGGTTTTGCCGCCCTCTTTTGACAGTGACACTCCAGCTTATCGATATCGTTTCTTGGAGCCAACTTCGCAATTCTTGGCCCGGCCAGTTTTGGACACACACGGTTGGGACCATGACTGTGGGTATGATGGTGTCAATGTTGAGCAAAATCTTGGGATTGCAGGACGCTTCCCTGCTGCAGTTACTGTACAGGTGACTAAGGATAAGAAAGACTTTAATATTCACTTAGATTCTGCAGTTTCAGCGAAGCATGGAGAAAATGGTTCTAGCTTAGTTGGCTTTGATATTCAAACCATTGGCAAGCAACTTGCCTACATTGTGAGAGGGGAAAGCAAATTTAAAAACTTGAAGAAGAACAAGACAGCAGCTGGAGTATCTGTTACATTTTTGGGGGAGAATGTTGCCACTGGGGTAAAACTTGAAGATCAAATTGCTTTGGGCAAGAGGCTTGTTTTGGTGGGGAGCACAGGTACTGTTCGTTCTCAGAAAGATGCTGCTTATGGAGCTAATTTGGAAATACGTCTCAGAGAAGAAGATTATCCAATTGGCCAAGATCAGTCCTCATTTGTGCTGTCACTGATGAAATGGAGAGGAGACCTGGCAATAGGAGGAAACCTTCAGTCCCAGATTTCTGTTGGGCGGGGTTCAAAGATGGCTGTTCGTGTTGCCTTGAACAACAAACAGAGTGGGCAGATCACAGTGAGGACAAGCAGCTCCGATCATGTAGCTCTTGCATATGCTGGTCTCATTCCAATTGCTCTTGCCATTTATCGGAAATTCAGGCCTAGTGTCAGTGAGAATTACTCTATCTACTAAAATCTGCATTTCATTTTTGGTTTCTGTCATTTACTTTTGCAATGGTGATCAAATTTTGATTGCTTTACTACTTTTCGAGTCGCTTCTTTTGTCATTTTCAATAAAGGCTTTGTTTCATCATTAGTAGCTCTTTTTTTTTTTTTTTTTTTTTTTTGTTTTTTTTTTGGGATATATACCACTCCCTAGCATATGCGGGTTATCAATGTATTAATATGAGTACGAAAATCGACTTTTGTTGCTTCCCATTAATGGCAATCTTATTTCTTTGAATATCCTCTTGCTACCCCTCTCCCTACCCTGGCCCTCTTATGTTTCTGATATCTTTTTGCATGGCAAAATCATCTTGGATCTGCTGTCATGGCATGTAATGAAATGAGTCTTTTAGGGCATGCTTGGATTAAGGGAGATGTATTATTAAGGTTATAACAGTCAAAACTAAGCAAAATGAAAATGATTATAGGGAAGGAGGAGATAGTGATAATCTGATTGTAAAGAAAATTATGTAATGATGGTGTGGTATGAGATGAAGAAAGAGGAACTAATACCTTCATTTTGGGGGTAATAGTTACACTAGGGGGAGAGTGGGTAACTATTATCTTCATTATGAGGATGATAATTCCTCCATCTCTCTCTTTTCCTTATGACAAAACTACTTTATTTCATTTGTAAACACCTTGTCTCCTACAACTCCTCTAATTATTTATGTTTTTTTAAGTTTGACTTTTATTACCCTTTGAATATATTACCCCCAATCCAAGTATGATCTTAAATTGAAATATATAGCCTCTAGATTTAGGCTGGTCGAAGTTATGGCCTTGGCCGTGGATCGAGTCTTAGTTTTATGTGGCCTATTATTTAGGAAGAACAGATGAAGTAGTTCACCATAGAATTGTAACTGTTCTTTTATGCTCATAATTACTGAATCAGACAAATGAGTATTGTGTGCTTCCTCGTTCTTTCGACTGGTCGAAAGGCTAATGCCTCATATATGAGACTTGTTGGTCAAAAATGTATCAGTACTGTAAAGAGATACTTGCTGTACTACCCTTGTAGGGTCTTCATAATAATCTAGTTCCACCTTCTGAACTAATTAAACAGTTAAATGGTTACAGACCTACAAAATATAGTGATGTGAAAACATATACACAAAATCTTGTTTTACTACATATGCTTAAGTTGATTTCATACTCGGAAGAATCGAGCTTTGGGTTATTATAGAAGAAATTGAAATAATGTGAAAGTAAATAAATAACTCTCTTGATTGTTTGCACTGATACTGGAGTTCATTCAGTAATTAACTTAGGTACTTAGGGTGAAAGTCTGGTTTCAATTGTCATTTTTGCTTTTCGAAAACGAACTAACGAACTTTTTAAATTATTCTATGCTTCTATTTCATTGTTTTTTGGCATTGATAAATAATTCTATAACGAACTAACGAAATATATGTTACTTCCATTCTCTATTCTTTATGTGTTTTTTTACATAGTCAATTCTTTATAATTTTACTTCATTCTATAACAAGCTAACAAAGTATATGTTACCTCCATTCTTTTTTTGAATTTTTCATGAAATACCACTGAGTTTTTCCAAAATTCACCATATACCACACAAAAATTTCTAATTCACCATATACCACTGAGTTTAACATAAATGTCACAACATGCCATTTTCGTTAACTCAGTTAGTCATTAACGTTAATTGTGCCACATGGCAGCTTGTAATTGGTTGCCTTTTAAATTATTTAACTTTAAAATAATTATTTAATTAATTATCAAAAAATAAAAATAAAAATAAAAAAATAATTGAAAAACTAAATAATTAATTGAAAAACTTTTACAAAAATAATTGAAAAAATTAAAACCACCACCAACTCCCAGCCATCTCCTCACCCCCAACCAGCACCCAGCCAGCCCCCCGCCACCCGCTCCCAGCCTTGAACCACCACTGCGTCGGCGCCGCCCCTCACCCAGCCTTGCGCCGGTGCCCCCATCCCTCCCTTGAACCACCATACCCAACCCAAATTCTCCCTCCTATCTGCCCAAAACGTCTCCCCCTGCAACCCTTCCACCTAAGCCGAAACCCACCATGCCGAAATCCAACGCCGGCGACCCAGATCCCCCTCCCTCACGTCGCCGCCGCCCAATTTAGTTGCAAACAACCAACCCAAAATCTCCCAGCCCCAGCCCGTGTACGACCACCCTCTTCATCGCCGGACTGGAACGGCCCGCCACCCCTTTATCACCACCATCACAACCCCCTACCGCTGCCCCTTACCACCATCACAACAAAGTCTCACCTTCCTCCGCAGTTGCTGCCACCACAACCCACCACCACCAAGCGAACCCACACACACCAAATCGCCACCAATCGCACCAAATCGCCACCACCTCACCAAATAGCCGGAGTTTAGGAGGTGGGGGGGTTTCGCGGTGCCAGAGTTATCAATTTTAAAGGTAGGGGTTTATGGGTTAGGGATCGGGTTGGGGGTTTCTTCAGGTTCTGGGTTGGGGTTTTTGGGTTAATTAGGGTTTTCGGGTTGAGGTTTACCAGTTAATTGGGGTTTTCTGGTTAGGGATTCAAGAAGAGGGAAGGTGGCTGGAGAAGGATAAGAAGGGGGAGGGGTGGTCGGGAAATCGATTTAAGGGACGGGAATGGGATGGGAGGTCGAAAAAGGTTGGGGACGGGGGAGTGGAAGAGGGAGGAGGGCGAGCTGCCGGGAAAGGGAGGGAAGGGGGAGGAGGGGGGCTGCCGGAAAAATGGAGGGAAGGAGGAGGAGGGAGCTGCCGGAAAAAGAGAGGGAAGGGGAGGATGGAGGTGGAGGGGAAGAGGCAGCCATTGATGAAGGTGAAGGGAAAAAATAAAAAATAAAAAAAAATTTATTAATTAATTTTTTTTTATTAATTAAGAGTTAATTAGATTATTAAACGAATTTATTGAAAGCCACGTGGCACAATTAACCTTAATTACTAACGGCGTTAACGGCAGACTAACGACAGTTAGAAAAAATGACATTCTCTGTTAATGTACATAAACTTAGTGCTATATGGTGAATTAAAATTTTTTATGTGGTATATGGTGAATTTTGGAAAAACTCAATGGTATTTCATGAAAAATCCGTTTTTTTTTGTTCTTTATGTTTTTTACAGTGTCGATTCTTCATACTTCTACTTCATTCTTTTTTGGTATTGATATTTGTATTATTTTATCCTCTTTTGACTTTGCACAACTATCTTGTTTAGGCCGTGTTCTTCTTACCTTAAGCAAATAATATAGAGCCTTATTGTATTATAAAGCAAGTTCCATTATAACTTTATCAATATAATTTGATCAAAAAAGCTACGTTACTTAAGACTCAGGTACCCATATTCGAATGGGTATTTATCCGAGTGGTCCAACTCGGCTATTTTATGAAATATTTCCATGATTTTGTACTAACGTGAAGTGTTTAAGCGTCTTATCCATATCCGAGTATCAAGGGTCCGACATGGGTACTTGAGGTGAGATGAAAAGTCCGAGTAATATAGCAAAAAAGTGATTAATTGATACCAAATAGAGTAGCAATTTATTTGATTGCCAATTATCCGGTCAAGTTACAAAGAAGATTCCTTCCAAAACTCGGATAAATGGTAGTTCACTCACCATCAAGAAAATTTAACCCAAAATTATCCAGAAAAAATTCTATCACAATGACAACACATAACGCAAACTACAGAACATTAATAGGCAATGGCCATTCGATCCTCAGAAACATATCGAAACCCATCTTTATCAGCTTCCTCAGCAAAAACTTTAGCAATCTTCTCAAGGGGGATCAAAGGGAAGTAATGAGCCATTGGTAACCCACTCTCTGCTGTAAAATCCACCATTTTGTTGTACCTTTCGGCCCAAAATGCCACGGTTGGAACCATTGACTGGCTTACTTGCGCAAGGACCGGAACTTGTTTACACAACTGCCATGCCCAAACTGCATATTCCTCAGCTACTGGTTCATACATGATGATCATGTCTTTGGCCACTGGCTTGTAAGTCAAGTATGCCTCTTTTGCAGCGTTAGCTGTTGCATCGAGCAGGCCGGTTGCTTGGATCTCCATGGCTAGCTCCCGTGTCACCTCTGCGGCTTTCTTTGTCACATGTGTCATTAGTTTTGGCAATGGCTCTTGTCTCCAGTCTATCTCGTGGATGAACTCGTCCACCTATATACCTCTTGGGTAAATGTTCTTAAATAAACATAGCAAGTAACAATTTTTATTTATTTATTTTGTTATTTTCTTAAAAAATAATGTCCAGCTTATTGACAATAGGCTGTATGGTAGAATTATCATGTTGGCTAATAAAATTTGTATCTAAGACAATATATAAGGCCAAACAAACGTTCAGCATCTGCTGTAAACAGGAATACTCACTAAAATAATGCATCTTTATACTATGGATTGCAGTGCAGGGAACAAGGCATTCGCTACGAATAGCCTGATAGGGCTAGTGCTGTGTTGCTTGTGTAGCATCTAGGGGTGAGCAAACCGGTATCCGGTCAAAATTTTAGGACCCGGACCCGGAATTGGTTGGGACCGGGTCCTAAAATTCGGAACCGGATTGGAATTAGTTCAACCAGATCCTAAAATTTAGGACTTGGAATTGGAACCATCGGGTACCGATCCCGGTTCCGGATACCCACTTATGTATATAATTGTTAAAATATATTATAAATTATAATACTTATATATTTTATTCTATTTTCATTTTTAGCGTTTAACACTTGTATTTATATCTGCATTAAGCTATTTTATTTATGTTGGATATTAATATATATATATTTTTTTTTACTAACTAGATACATTTAACATAATTTTATTTTTAAAAACTTATTTAGTGTAACATATGTTGGGCAACTGGGTACCCAACTAGTTCCAGGTCCAAAAAATCGAGAATTGTAATTGGAACTGGTTACAACCGGGACCTTAATTTATTACCCGGAATTGGAACCACCGGGTCCAATTTTGTTTCCGGAATCGCCAGTTCCTAACCGGTTTCAGTTCCAATTCTGGGTACCCGAAATTTTTGCTCACCCCTAGTAGCATGTTTGCATGTGTAATAAGAGCTGTGTCTAATGTGGTTGCTGAGTCGGAGACCTATGAACTATACACGATCCTTCCAACAACGAAACAAATACTTTATTCAAATGGTTAGGGGAAATGGTGCAGGAAAATGGCTGCAAGTGACAGACTGACAGCGGTTGTTCTCCTTTGATGTACTTGGATGTTCTTGCATACATGTTTTTGGTGAAGAATGAACTTCAAAGGTCCATCAATCATGCCACTCATGTCTCATATCTTGCATCGACTTCTACGGTATGAAAGAATAGCCCAAGAAATATGGGATATCCACTTACTATTTATTTCAATGTTTTTGGACATACAATGTTGCTGTTGTCTTTGGCAATTTCAAAATAGTACTCCTGTATCCATACTAAAGTGATGGAGTGAGGATATAGCACAAGCATCAAATTTTCAAAATTATTTTTTGTTATGTCATATACTTAATAATAAGTGTTTTTTTTTTTTTTTTAAGGTTAAGCCAGCCTAGCTCCGCAGGTCAACGCTTGAGAGTAGAGGGGGATATAAAGGAATTCCCTACCCCCAAGCAATTGTAGTTGGTGGGACTTGAACTGGTGACCTCAAAGGTTCAAAGTCATAAGGTGAGTTTTCTACCAACTCCATCAAACTTTGCTTGGTTATATACTTAAAATAAGTGGCTGAGACAATGTAACAACTACTTCATGGGAAAGCGAGTATATTAATACAATGAAAATCACATAACAAGTTGGAGCTTAAGAGCAACTAATTTATGCAGTGAATCTTCATTCTTAGCTATTGTGCCTATAATAGTCTCGGATACATGCACTCAATTGCTAGTCCACAATACTCCAAAAAAGAGTGACATCAAACTCAAAACTAACCTTGCGGTCGAGGAATTCAAGAAGCTGTAAGGGGACATGGTGGAACTTGTCACAGACAGGTCCAACGATTCTCAACACGAATTCTTCGATGGCCTCAACTCGTGCCTTGAACGGACCACTATGCTCCTTGCTCAGTTGATATAGTTTTGTTAGAAAAACAACCATATTTTCCACCGTTGCTTCCACAAAATCCAAGTGCTTGAGCCTTTTCTCTTCATTCTCATACACCTGTATGTATCATTATAGGATCAAACTCACATACAGGTTAATACTCGTACTCCCCTAGTCCAGAAATAGATAATGTAATTTGAACTAGTAACGTGACTAAAATATCGACTCACCTAGCCAGTAAAAAGCATGTATAAATTTAAGGATGGTTTTGGAGTACTTACAATAACAGCGTTGGTTTGTTCAAGAGGTTCTTGAGGTTGTTCCATCACTTCCATGTTGAGCTGAAAAAAGCTTGGATAACCCTATTTTTGTCTCAAAATTTTGAGATTTATCTCATGTTGCTCATGCCGCTTTGCAAAGTCGTAGTTATCTTGACTCTTTGTGTTGGAAAATGGAAACATGGACATTTGAAAATTATCTATAAGAAAGAAAAATTAATGAAATTATAATAATATATTTTCCTCAAAAAAAAGAATAATTGAATAATTGTTGTTGTTTGTTTTTATTACTAGATAAGATTTTTAAAATTGATAATAATTCAATATAAAATTCGAAAATGCTAAAGGTTACAAGTTGCGACAAAATATTCGATAATATTGGTTAGATTGAAGGGCCCCAAATTTTTTATCCTGCCCTAGGCCTATATAAAGTCAGGAACACGCCTAGCTAAGTGGTCTACAAATATTACGGAGTACGAAATTGGAAGATGTACACATCTAGTAGTTGAGTTAGGGTGCCATCTCTTCATTCATCAACCAGACGACATAAGTTCCTAACTGTGAGATTTCATATTTACTTTTACTCTTTTTATTTCTGGGTGGGGAGGTCGTCAACAATTCAATTACTGCATTAGGAATTTTAGGATTTAGAAATTAGTATTAACTACTTCACATAATCTATAGAAACATAAACAAAGAGCTTTACATATTGTCAATTGATATAGCAGTATATATTAACAGAATTTTCAGTTTCCCTTTTTATTTTTACAGACATTTATCATGAGTTCGTGACAAATGAGATACTTTTCACTATGACTTTTCTCACTACAACTAAATGATGATTCCACACCCCCCCACACAAAAAACACGAAATTACATACACGACCGTTCAAATCGAACTGAGGCTTTACATCGACGAGTGATGATGCATACGAGGTCCTTTCCAACCACATAAATATTTCCCGTACACACTTGGTTTTTGTTGCTTCTTTTTGCTTCCACCGTTCATCAAGGGTGTTGTGGGTGCAGATCTGACAACATGAGCCCCGCTCCCACGATGAGCAAGGAACTGGTTGTGCAATGTACTGTATTCAATGTCACTGCGCTTGTCAAGCCATGCAACAATGTCACTGAAAACAAGCTCTACATTGTCATCAGGCTCTCCGGATGTTAAAGCGTGCCACATTCCTGGATATAGTTTGAAGGTCTTGTCGACGCTGCTGGCTTGCTCATACAATGCTCTGCTTACTTCTGGGTCAGTCACTGTGTCTGCTTCCCCATGTAGTACAAAGAATGGCACGGTTACCTGTAAGTTTGTAACAATCAATCATGCTGCATTATTAGAATTATTTGAAAATTATCTTCAGATTAGGGATAACTTATAAATATCACATTAATCCTTTTAGTAATGTATGAATAGCAACTTAGCAAGTCTTCTCATGACTGACAAAGAATGAGAACATAATTTGCAAGTTTTAGGAATGGTTTGAGAGTAGATAATATTAACCTCATGTAAGCTGTCCTCAAGGCTGATACTCGTTCTCAGCATTTCCAGAGCTGTTTTCAGCCTGGGTTTCTCTTGATATACGAGCTTGTTGCTCCTTATCTGTAGAACAGGCAACAGAGGATATCTCAAAAGGAGGAAAAAAAATGGTGACAACGTGTGTATATAACACATTCACTTCCAATGGTTTGAGAATCAGAGAATGAATTAGAAGATAACCTCTTCCCGCTTGATAGGGTCTTTAAATGCTGAATCAATAACATCTTTTGAGGGAACTATCTTCCATTTAGGTATAATCTCCTCCACTTGTGTCAAAATATTAATAACGACAGGGTGAGGCTTCACCTTTTCTGATATCTGGCAGTTTCACCAGAGTATTAGAAACATTGCAATTTAGATTACCAATAAAATTTACAGGAAAGGCCTTTTCCTTTCTCATGGTTAACACTGTTTCATACTTTCATATACCAAACCATCAAATATTCTTTAACTGTTTAACAACCAAAGTAAGCACAACTGATCCACGAGAAACAGTTTTATATAAAGATCATTTAAGGCGGCAAGTAAAAACAGGAAGCATATATCATCATTGATATGTAATTATGAATCATCCATGGCAATCTAGCATTACCTTACACATGGGTGCGACAAGAACTGCACCATGCCAAAAGGTAAGGTCTTTTTTGTGAAGTAACAATGCAACAGCTCCTCCCATCGACTCTCCATATAAAAATCTCCGTTTACCTTTATACTCATCCTGCTCTGTGAACCATTGAAAACAATTAAAGACATCATGTGAAATTTGAGCATGGATCAACTTAAGGAATTGGTTAACCTACCAGAAACTGACTTGAAAAAGTCATAACAGTCATTCACAATATTGTCAAACTTCTTAATATAACAGCGGGCACCCTTGGACCTTCCATGCCCCTCGTAGTCCATACCAATCACTGCATAGCCAGCACATGCTAGCTTGATTCCACATCCTGTCACCATAATACAAAACTATAGTCACCACCATTCTACAATTTTCAAAATCGCAACAGGAAAATTTTATTTCTGGTAAAATGTCTATAACATCACATAATTACATATTGAGTTTATTGACAGCATCATTTCTCTGAGGTCATTAGTCCATATCATATCATAGTTAGTTGGAGTGGCACATAACGTCGTCTACTTAAATAAAACCAATCGGTCGTATTCCCACTCCCTTCTTCCCTCATTTCAAAATACTTATTTCCTCTAACATATTTCCCTTCCTGCCAATCCAAAAAATCAAAATGGTAGGCTAAAAAGCCATAAGAAGTAAAAACAAGTGTTTCAAAGTCAAAAAACCTTGGTGGGGCCTCATGAAAGATTGGTCTAATGAATCAAGAATTGGTTGTTCAACCAACTTAAACCAAACAGCAATATGCAAGGATATGAAAATTCACTAATTATGTCAGCAATGACTAAAAGCTAAAAAGAGAAAAGCCACTGTGATTCACCCGATAGTACACTGAATCAAAAAGGTATATCACTATTACTATAATATTCAATTCTATATTACTACTAGTACTGTTATACATGTCTCTGAGGAAAATACTCTCTAGTTTGGCAAGGATAAGCGGCTAATTCTACCATCTTTTCTCCTCTTGAAGGCTTTTATCAAGTAAATAGTTTACTTCATAATCACCATGACCAAGTAACCCATGCACTGAAGCTTAGCATTTTTCAATTTTTGTAACATCCTTTATACCCCTAATGCCCTAAAAGCTTCGATAGCACAACCAAATGCAAGTTCTTTCACCCTAGAGTCACTGAACTTAATTGAAGTTGGACAAAACATCCCACTGTTACATATAGGAAGAATAGAGGTCAATTTACCAAAGAGAAAAACAATTATTGAGAAATGAAAAAGATAAGATGGCAATACATATAGTTGCAAATTTGCAAAAAAAGGACTTGTCAAAAAAAGATATTGGCTTAGATATTTTTACAATTCGCTTCTAGACTAAGATGGTTAGGAGGGAAAAAGAAAAAATATCTACGTGATTCAAAGATAATCTAGAAAGGGTTAACACATTAAATTTGTCAATTAATTACCACACAAAATTCTAAGCTAGCATATAATGTGAATCATGACACAAAGCTCAACTACTAAAGAAAAGTTTTTTAAGGTGTAAATCTGGTGGTTGGGGGATGTTATATCAGGAAAATAAGTCAATTTACATTTAAAAAACATCCTATAAAAGATGCTGACCACAAATAGGTGAAAAATGCAGTACCCAATTCAGTATGTGGTTTACATACAGCTTCAAATGTACATATATTGCATGTTTCTTTTTTTTAAATGGGGTGGGGCAAATTTGATAAGAATTCAGGACAAAATCATTAATAAGATTTAGGTGACTGGGGAGGTTGGACATTAACCTTCTTTTGACAAGAAAATAGTATGTTAAACATAACAGTAGGATTCACAAGCCAAAAACTATGCATTGATATCGAACCATTTCAATATCGTTTAGCAATCCATTGTATGTATGGAAAGTCAAATTTAAAATTAGTGATTCTCGCTTTGTGACATAAATTTTAGCTCAATTTTTAAAATATAATGGGTGACCATTGCATACATATGAAATCATACCTAATGTTACCTTGTTTCCAAGCAAGACCACATTTTGCAATTTTATTCAACACACAGTACAGACAACAGTGATTGGGTACTCCCTCCATTCTACTTTTATATTCCCATTTACTATTCCTTTTAATGTAAATATTCATAACATAAATATAAACATAAAATTTTTATAATATGAATTATGAAATTAAATATGTAAAAGTCTAATATCTATATGGGAAACATACCAAAATGCAAATGGGGAGATCTATAAGGAACGGAGGGGAAGTCAATCAAAGTACATCATAGAGTATCAATATTGAATAAAAGACTGGAAAAAGTTTTTAGGATTCAACCTCATGAATTAAGAAGTTCATCAAATATTAGATTGATGTCTCAGTTTGACCAAACTGATGTAAACACATTTTGATGTACTTCCAAGTTCCATTCTACATGTGCCATATAAGAGCCTTTACAGCACACACACAAACCCCTAACATAAATGTACAAAGTACTCTGTTTACTCATTTTTTTTTATAAGAAAACATATCATGATACAATTTATACAATATAAATAATCAGAGCAGACATTAAGCCCTTATCAACGGTTTCTTTTCTTCTCCATTTTTAAAAATAAAAATCTAAATATATGTGCGCGTGTGTGTATGAGTAATCTGTGTAAGAGTAAATTTGGAAACTTAAACAAGAGCAGGATAAGCATTTCATAATTGTTGTTTCACCTCCCTCACTAGAGACTCCATTAGTTTTCTATCTTTATTAATCACAAGTAAGGTACAAAAGTAGAACAAGATTCAAAACTCAAATTTTCGATATAGGCCTTTAAAAGCTTAATCAAATACAGTATTAATATCTCATTAGTTCCCCCCTCCCCACCCTCCTAGTTAGTAAAAAAAAATCCCAGAAGTTAGGAAATTAAGAGTCGGATTTATCCTAACCAAATGCAACGAAGCTACTAGACATCCATGGGATCAGGACCAAAAGTCCTTCAAAAAGTTTAAAGATGGAAAGAAAGCACTAGATCTTACAAGATCAAAAAAGTGTGTACCAACCTAACAAAAAAATACTTGAGTCATGTTGTATATAACAACCCACTTTTACTTTTTCAATTGCTAAAATACACATCATATATGAAAATCAGTGTATAATAACACTATCTTTGAATTAAATAAAAGAACAAAGGAAAGAACAAAGAAGTTGTCTAATATTATAAAATTGGTTGTTGAAGAAAAAGCTACCCATGATGAGGTCAAAACCGGCAGGCCAACCCAGTGACAGAATACAAAGAACAAGAACAATTGTGCTAAACATATCTGAATGGTGCACTTTCAATTTAGGAAGCCAACCAAACAAAAATATGATTTTTTAAAAAATAAAATAAATAAATAAGGAAAACAAAAGCAAAAATTGAGCTTTAATTGCACTGAAAAGCAGAGACAAATATAGTGAGAAAGCATTAAATTACCTCTCATGAAACTGCTGCATTCCATGCCATACCCTGCAAACCAGCATACCAATTATGACATTTAGAAAACTGACACTCATCAATATTCAATATGACATTCAGAAGACTACTATAATACCGATCAACACGGGATTTTGTCATGAACTCCGAAACACTAGAATTACATTAAAAATCGAAGGTGAAATTTAAAATCTTGGAGAAAGAATAGTGTAGCAGTACCATGGCAGATGAAAACAAGAGCCTTAGGAGGAGAGAGAGGCAACCATCTACAAGTAAAAAGCTGGACATCTCTTGAATTCCTAATGTACTCCTACAAAACACCATCATTATATCTAATTATAAGCAAAACCCACTTCATAAACCACAAAATCAATCAAAACCCAGAAGTTAAATTTTGCTCAAAAAATCATAAAACAGGAAAAATTCAAGATTTTTTTGTATAAAGAAGAATATTCGACCTCTTGGTACTCAAATTCCATATCTTGAAAGATCCAACAAAAAATAGTCAAAATTTCAGGCAATCAATAGAAAACCATGCACAAATTAACAAATTTAAGGGTATGAAAAGGAGAAAATGAAGAGAAAAAATAGTGTTTGGAGATGAATGTGAAGCGAAGAGGGTGGGAGATATGAAGTTTTTAACGAGGGATAGAAATTTGGAAGGAGCATAGAGAATCTAGTGATTATTGAAAGAAACAACCAAATATAGTGTGAGGTGTCAGGTGGGTTATGTCCAATTTGGGGTGAGGTGACTACGAGCCCATAACTTATTATACCCTTCCCTTGCTACAAAGATTTCCTAGTCTTTGTACCTTTCATACACGGGTTTGGTCTCGTGTCGTACACGGTGTGAAATTTTTCATTACTTTTTCCGTTTTAAAATGTTCTTTTTAATGATTGTCTTATAAAATCAAAATGGGAGCAGAGTTTAGTTTTTTTTTTTTTTTTTTTAGGGAAAATGGGAGGGAGTTTGGGAATGGAGGTTGTATAAAAATAAAGTTGGTTTTTTTTTTTTTTTTTTTTTTTTTTTTTTTTTTTTAATTTTTTCTTTTCTTTTTTATAAAAAAAATAAATAAAATTGATAAATTTCTCGTAAACGCTTTTTTCTTCTTTTTTAAAAGTGTCAGCACTTATTTGGAAATTTTAGGCGATAAAAAATTGTGGATGTGTCATCAAAATCTGAATTATTAGCCATTGGATAATTATTAATTAAACATCTTGGTTGAACAAATTGTTTTAGCCTAATGTGACTATTATAATTAAAGGTGTGTTCTGTTCACTTTAATTTTAATTAAGTGAACTTACCAGATCATATACGGACATAGTTGAACTTATATGAACTTGATCTTATTAGAATTTATTTTAGCTGTAAATTGAACTTTGGTATCTTTTATTAACTTTAATTAGAACTTATCTAAACTCATTTGAAATTATTTTTATTAAACTTATCATATATGAACTTGTTAACCCTTATCTGAACTAATCTGAAAAAACAAAATTGAATATAAGGTGAACACATTAAACATGACCTAAGTTTAAAGAGTTAATGAGGTGATACGAGATATAAAGACAAACCATGAACATATAAGAAGATTTGTAAAATAAAAATTGCATAAATGGAAAATGTGCAATCTTTAGAGTAACTCCAATGGTAGATATGTGTTGCAATTTGAAATTATCTTGCTACATATAATATAAGTACTTGCTTCATTATTGGAGCATGTAGTTGTATTGAGCAATAATCTAAAGCAACTACCTTACTTGAATCTTTAAAAGGAGGAAAATTATAATTGGTGTGTTGAATAACTATTAAAGTCATTTAATTAAGTTTCATGCATGTGTCGTAGCTACTAGGGGGTGAGCAAAGATTCCGGGTATCCAGAATTGGAACTAAAAACCAGTGGGTCCGAAATCGGAATTGGACCCAGTGGTTCCCATTCCGGGTAATAAATTAAGGAACCAGCTGCAACTGGTTCCAATTCCAATTCTCAATTTTTTGGACCCGGAACCGGTTGGGTACCCGGTTACCCAACATATATTAAACTAAATATATTTTTAAAAAAAACAAAAATATGTTGAATGTATCTAATTAGTAATATAAAAAAATATTTTTAATACCTAACATAAATAAAATAGCTTAATGCATATATACATATAAGTATTATACGCTAAAATGAATATAAACCAAAAAAAGTATTATAATTTGTATTATATTTTAACAATTATATACATAAGTGGATACCTGGAACCGAAACCGGTACCATGTGGTTCCAATTCTAAATCCTAAATTGTAGAACCTGGTTGAACCAATTCCAATCCCGGTTCCAAATTTTAGGACCAGGTCCCAACCAATTCAGGGTCCGATTTCTAAAACTTTGACCGGTTACCCGATTTGCTCACCCCTAGCTACACATGGTTATTTTGCGGATCAGAAAAGGACCGATGAAGGTCAATTGCAAGTCTAGTAATGAATTAGGCCCTGTTCTTTTGAGCTTCTGGGAAAAGCAGAGTGGAACAGAGTAGAGGTCAGCCGTCAGCAGAGCAGAACATATTATTATTATTATTATTATTATTATTATTATTATTATTATTATTATTATTATCTTTAAATATTAGTTATTATTATTTTTATTATTAAATATTAATTATTTTTATTATTAAATATTAATTATTTTTATTATTAATTATTATTATTATTAAATATTAATTATTATTATTAATAATAGTAATTAATTATTATTACTAAATATTAATTATTATTATTATTACTATTATTAAATATTATTATTATTAGTATTATTAAATATTATTTATTTTTATTATTCTTATTATTAAATATTAATTATTCTTATTATTAAATATTAATTATTATTATTATTATTCTTATTATTAAATATTAATTTTTATTTTTATTAATAATTATTATTTTTAAGCAAAGCAGAGCAGATTTCAGTAGAGCAGATCAAGACTCAACAGAGCAGAGGAGAGCAAATCAACTCAAAAGAACAAGGCCTTAATTGACTTGTAACATGTCAAAATAACAAATTAGATTGCAAGTGCCAATGCTAGGCAGGTCGATAGTGAGTGAACAAATAAACAATTAATGAAAAAGGAGAAAGATAATAGACAAAAGTGAGCACATATTAATAAGTGAATACAACTCTCATTTATTTATGTTTATAGTTATTGTTTTATAAGCTTATTGGGTTGTGATTTTGACCTCATATTGATCCTACCCTATAAAAAATATGTCCAATAAGGTCCTCTTTAATAAAATCTCTTATAAGACCATGTTCACTTCACTTTACTTCCTCTGTCCCAAAATACATGACACAATCAACATTGCATACATGTTAATGCACTAGTTTGACTTTATTCTTATATAATTAAATATTAATGAAAATTATTTTGAAAATTATGTTATGAAACTTTATATTAATACCTATCTAACAACATATTTTATAATAAAATATGTTTTATTATGTTAGTAAAAAATTATGGTCAAAGCTAATACATGAATATTGAAAAAAGTCCAATGTCTCATGTATTTTGGGACGGGGGGAGTATTTTTGTTGAATTGAAATTATTTTTGCTGAATTTAAATTAATTTTACTGAATTCAAATTAATTTTACTAAAATTAAATTAATTTTACTGAGCTGATATTATTTTTACTGATTCTCTATTATACTCCCTCCGTCCCAGAATAATTGATATATTGCACTTTTTTTTCACTTTAGCATTGAGTGTACTTTTTTAACTAACATAATAAAAACATATTTTATTATAAAATAGGTTGTTAGATAGGTATTAATATAAAGTTTGATGATATAACTTTTTTTATATAATTTTCATTAATATTTAATCATGTAAAAATAAGATCAAACTAGTACATCGGCATGTGTGCAAAGTTTGACTGTGTCAGTTATTATGGGACAAAGAGAGTATGTCTTCTTTAGAATTACTGATTTTTACTGAAATTAATTTTACTAAACGGAAATTAATTTTACTAAACTGAACTTATTTTTACTGAACTGAAATCATTTATACCGAATATTATTTTGTTATAAGGTGAATTGGTCTTAGTCACTTCACCTTATTTTTGCAGAAATGAAATTATTTTTACAGAACTGAAATTATTTTTACAGAACTGAAATTATTTTTGCTGAAATTAAATTATTTTTACTGAACTGAATTTAATTTTACTTAACTGAAATAATTTTACTGAACATAAATTATTTTTACTGATTCTCTATTATATATCTTCTTTACATTTACTAATTTTTACTAAACTGAACTTTTTTTTTACTTAACTAAAATTACTTTTACTAAAATGAACTTTTTTTTTATTAAACTAAAATTATTTTTAGTGAACTGAAATTAATTTTACTGAACTGAAATTACTTTTACTGATTTTTTTTTATACTCCCTTCATCCCAAAATAATTGATACATTAGACTTTTTTCACTATTCATATATTAGCATTGACTAGGTTTTTTTACTAACATAATAAAAACATATTTTATCATAAAATATGTTGTTAAATAGGTATTAATTAATATAATTTTTATTTTAATAATTTTCATTATTTATCTAGGTAAAAATAAGGTCAAACTAGTGCATTGACATGTATGCAAAGCTTGACTGTGTCAGTTATGGAGTATGTCTTCTTTAGAATTACTGATTTTTACTGAACATAATTTAATTTTACTGAACTCAAATAATTTTTACGGAATATTTTTAAGGTAAACTGAAATTCACCTTATTTTTGCTGGAGTGAAATTATTTTTATTGAACAAAAATTATTTTTTCTTAAATTAAATTATTTTTACTTAACTGAAATTAATTTTATTTAACTGAAATTATTTTTAGTGATTCTCTATTATATTTCTTCTTTACAATTACTGATTTTTACTAAAGTGAACTTATTTTTACTAACTGGAATTATTTATATTGAAATGAACTTAAATTATTTTTACTGAATTGAAATTTTTTTTTACTGAATATTATTTTTTTAACGTATACAGGGCTGAATTATAAATATACGATCAAATCAAACAAGTGAATAATGGAAAAAGTAAAAATTATACAAGTATCAATTATTTTGGAATGAATTATGGATATAATATCTATAACAAACTAGTTTTGTGCCCGGGAAATTGCCAAGGTTGTTGAATAAGTTTTTGTCCCGACCGTCAAATATTAACACTTTTTTTTTATACAAATCATCATATCCAATAAAAGGACAAATTATCACTTTTAGTATATAATTATAGAATTATACTTCGTGGGAAAGAAAAACAATGAGGTAATTCCTATGTAAGAAATTTCTATATATTTCTTTGTAATACTAATGAATTAATGCTCACTAAATAATTATATTTGTGAAGTAGTTTTGTGTGATTTAACAAATTTTATTAATTGTTATTATTATTTCAATGTACTGCACATAGTATTAGTAAAATAAAAAATATACATATAACTTTAGTAGTTTTGGGATCTACAAACTAATATCAACGCGTTTTCTATGCGTCTGGCCACACCATGTGGTCACTTGGAAGAAAACGGAATAATCCCTATTATACTGATGGAGTAACCCCTATTATACTGATGGAGTAACCCCCTATTATACTTTAAGTAACCTTTAAATAGTAAAGTAACCCCTACAACACTGATAGAATAACCTGTAACCCCATGGTGCCACATATAAAAGTTAGTGAAACAACATTGTATAATGTAACAATCATATTTGATCATGAGTTTTATTTTATTTTTAATTGATTTAAAATTATCATAAATGGTGTTTTGAACTTCTTTTAAAATGAATTTTATGATGCAGATATATAAAAATTATAAGATATATTTTTTAAAAAGCTATAATTAATTTATAGATACGAAATGTTTTTGCTGACTTAATATACCCTTTTAAAAAAAATTGATAATTAATACACCCCTTTAAAAAAAATTGATACACTTTCATTTTAGAGCCTTTTGTTTTTAAGTGTAACTCTAA